TGAAGGCAATAGCTTGGATGCATGAGCGCCATTGAGGGCGCGACTGGGCCATGTCTGATAATGTCTCTAACCACTGATATGCCCCGTCCCGGGGTCTCCATCCAGGAAGACGGCAATGACTAGCGCAGCTGAGTTTGCTGGTAATGGCTTTCATACTTCGTTGCCAAGTCATTGTTTGACCGCCTCTCTTCAATCAGAACTTGCTTTAAGCAACTGTTTCAACAACAATCTACTTTCTAGGTTTCATTCGGACCAACTCAATAATTTACGGCTGGTGTAAGCAACCACATATTTGGAAGCTGATCTAGATTAATTCAAACGCTGACAAATTGAACCTGATGCTTAAGAGAGAAGTAACCTTCTCTGGTGAGAAGCACACAGACAGACAGACACAGAACAGATTTGGTTTTTATCAAGATCCCATAGAACTGAAGTGGTGACCAAGTGCGACAAGGTAAAAATAAAGCAATAGGAGGAAGCGATAAATGCAGCGTAGCTAAACAGTTGCAGACTACATTTCCTACCCTGACTAGTCCACATCAAAGTAGATTCGCGGGTTGCCCTCATTAGTTGATCAGCAGAGCGCCTTGCCTCCACATCGAGAATTATAATCAACTGACACACGATACGAGATGGTTCGGGGTTAGAGCGAGCGCCTTGCCTCCACATCGAGAATTATAATCAACTGACACACGATACGAGATGGTTCGGTGGTTAGAGCGCGAATTTACTGATCGGAAGGTCCGTGGTTCGAACCCGACCACTGCCTCTCGACTTCCCCTGTCTAGGCTTGAGCGACCTCGCAGCATGCCAGCCCTCGTGCTTCCTTCAGGTGGCATGGCAGCTAGGGACCGAAAGAGTGCTACAGCTGAACGATGACACGTAACGCGCCCTTACCTCAGCTTCGCCAACAGACCCTGCAATGGTTCATAATCAATCAGAGACTTTACCGAAGGTTTCAAGAGTCGAAGATGCCGGAATGTCCTGAGTTGCAGTTAATATTAGAAAGAGTATTTCTACGTCATTCGCGAAAACCATTCACGCCACTCGAATATGAATAGTTTAAGACTGGATAACCCAAGTACGTCCACCATGTGCACGTAGACTGCCAGCTGCCGTCTGAATTACACAGAGCTGGGGCTCCACTACTCAAATTTTGCGTCCATCTGTCGCGAATTCATGCGTGTTCGCTTCCTGAAGGATGGAAATATTCCTTTTGAATGCTCTAGGAGCTCCTAGGAGCAGCACGACCGCGTGGAGGCACTGAGGAAATTCGCAACCTGTCCTATCAAGATTTGTATTACAGACAAGAACAGACGTGGTAGCAATCTAAAAAAATAAATGGTTCAGCTGTAGCCTAGATGCAATGCCACCCGAGGGAAGCATGAGGGCTGGGATACTGCCAAGTTTCTCAATCCTAGGCGGGAGCGGTCGAGATGGAGGAGTCGGGTACTAACCACGCACCTTCCGGTCGGTAAATTCGCGCTCTAACCACTGAGCCATCTCATGACAATAAAACACTTATCACGTCTCTAGCAGCGGGAGTGAGTTCAAGTGTTCAAATCTCCAATTACAACACTGACCTGGCCGTACTCTTGATGGCATGAGCCTCATCCAATACAATGTAGGCCCAAGGAGTTTTATTGATGAACTTAGCGTCTTGCAAGACGATTTGGTAACTGGTAATTACAACATGCATCTCAGCATCTCGGGTTCCCGGAAGTGCACGTACGGCCTCGTCGGCGAGTGGAGCGGGGCTGTCGTCAAAATCAGTTGGTGCGGTCTGTGGTCGAGCTGAGAACCAAAATCGTCGAAGCACTTTCCGTTCGGCCGGACTTCCCCAGTAAGGAACGAGGCGAAAAGAGGGAAGGAATTTGGCAAACTCTTGTGTCCAATTGTGTAAAGTTGAGGCTGGGGCAACCACAAGGAACGGACCCCAAATGTTGTATTTCTAAAAGCAGAGGGGAATTCGCAAGAAAATCAGAATGGGACTAGTTGAAAGGGGGCACAGCTCAGATGTGAATAATCATCATCGACAGTGAAACATTAGTGTTCAACACTTATACTTCGCCGTCAGACATGAAACAACTCTATTTTCTGGAGAAGAAAGCCCTCATCCAGTCTACCGATGTGTCTGACTTGGAATAGTACAGAGGCCCGTAAACCGAGTCCATACATACCCCCTTGCTTATTGAAAATTACACCCAAATGAGTCGGCCTTTATGGTTATGTTTGAGTCTACCAATACACAAGGATTCAAATAACGAAGCCTGGAAAACTGATCAAGAAAAGAGGGATGTGGGCGAGCCAAAGGAATGATAGAAAACATGTGACTGACAGATGGATTGATATGACCAAGAAGGGTAAAAAGCACCTAAACGATTAGATGTGGATGGAAAGGCGGACGGTCAATGTAGAAAAGATTAAGTGGAAAAATCCCCGCAATGTCGTGATGTCCGGAGGCCAGTCGTCCCTAATAACTGAACGTCACATCATTTGGGCGGATTTGTCACGTGCAGGACACGGACAAAACAAAGGTATGCCCTGATTGGTCAGAATGCCAGCCAATCCGGGTCGAGCATCTTTGACTCGACGCTTCTCGCCCCCTTACGGAGATTCTGGCAAGACCTTGTCGAACACAGTTGTAATAATTTTCCTTTGTCTCCGTAAAGGGCTGTCTAAAGCTACCGTGCCTTTTGACATACCGTAGTGGGCGGAGCAGGAAGCCAAGGGACCAATACACAGTTGCACTACCGTTCTGCACGCCACAACACGTGATCTGAAGGGAATACTGTCACTGAGTTTCCATAACTGACAGCGTCCAAATACCAGTGCTTCACTGCCTTGAAGCCCTCTTATTTCAATTGAAGAAAGTCCTGGTTTACACTGAGGATAATATTGGAGGAGGTGAGAAGCCTGATGCTAGCCTAACACGAATATACACACAAAGTAGAGACTCCTTCAACACTCGGTCAGAAAAGCTGAATAGAAAGCCGAATACAATAACTTTGGTTTTCGGTCAGAGTAGAGTCCTTCCCCTAAATTCGGTGATCACATCATCGATCATGAAATTCAGGCCGATTCAAGCTATGACACTCTATCGCTTGCTCAGTCACTTGTAAGTACTGTTCAGCCCAAGCACCATTTTTCATAGGGGAACCTGACCCCGTACTATGTACTGTTTTTTTAAATATTATACCTCATTAGAGTTCTCATTGGATCTCAAGATAGCTCACTGGTCAAATTTTCGCGGGCCCCTATAAGACGACGAGGGATCAGTGATGCCAGAAGCCTTGTGACAACGGGAGTCGAACTGATCCCTTGTGGTAGTCCAGGTTTACACTGAGGATAATATTGGAGGAGGTGAGAAGCCTGATGCTAGCCTAACACGAATATACACACAAAGTAGAGACTCCTTCAACACTCGGTCAGAAAAGCTGAATAGAAAGCCGAATACAATAACTTTGGTTTTCGGTCAGAGTAGAGTCCTTCCCCTAAATTCGGTGATCACATCATCGATCATGAAATTCAGGCCGATTCAAGCTATGACACTCTATCGCTTGCTCAGTCACTTGTAAGTACTGTTCAGCCCAAGCACCATTTTTCATAGGGGAACCTGACCCCGTACTATGTACTGTTTTTTTAAATATTATACCTCATTAGAGTTCTCATTGGATCTCAAGATAGCTCACTGGTCAAATTTTCGCGGGCCCCTATAAGACGACGAGGGATCAGTGATGCCAGAAGCCTTGTGACAACGGGAGTCGAACTGATGCCCTTGTGGTCACTATATTCACTGCGAGTGAACTTTTTTCAAAACGGGCACAATTATCGACTCACGCAATAGTCTGGACCGGTCTATTTCTCGCAGAAGCCATACAGACACTGGTTGAGGAATTCAACACTATCCTTGAGCATGACATGAGCAAGGTCCCAACGACCAGGAGCCTGAGAACGCTTGAGTAGATATATACACTCGGGGGCTAAAGGGAACTCCAGATTCACAACCCACCTTTCCGTTGAAGTCCTGCAGTCCGAGTTGAAGGTGAGAGGTGTTAGAGTGGATCAATGACCGAAGTACTATACCCATCAGTCCAAATGTTTCCTTTACTGGAAGTTCATCCTCGAGCCGGAGACAGCTCTCAGTGATTGAGACGCGAACTTACTGACCGTGATATTCGTGGTTCGAACCCAACCCCTGTATTTGGACTGCTCTTGTCTAGGCTCGGGCAACCTGGTAGTAGCTTAACTCTCGTGTTTCCTTCGGATGGCATGGCAGATAGGCATTGAGAGGGTGTTAATCGAACAAACTGTGATAAGAGGGTCAAATGATTAAACGAAAACATCAAGTCTTACCTCAGCCAAATGCCCGAGAAACGCAATTGCTTGTATTGTTTTGCCAAGGCCCATTTCGTCGGCAAGAATCCCATTGATGCCTTGATCAAAAAGTCCCAAAAGCCAGGTCAGACCTCGTAGCTGGTACCCCTTTAGGCTACCTTGAAACAGACTGGGAGCTTCGACGTGTACTTCGGGTGCGTTCGCATCAACTTTTGAGTCAGAACAAGCAGCCGGGTGTAACTGTTGGAAATGAGCTCTCTAATTAAAGAGACAAGAGAGAGGAGTGATGTGTGGCACACCAAATCGAGCTGGACTCAACAAACACAACGAACGCATCATCATCATCATCGACAGCATGACTCAGTGTTCAAACATTGATGCTTCACTGCGTAAGATGAACGCCTCGACCGATGGCCACCAGCCGGAACCCGTCTGGAGCCCACAGGGGACGTGGAACCGCCTA